AAGTATAATTCTGCCTGAAAAAATCTCATGTGCTTTTTCTAACTCCGAGTAGCACTACACAAAGGTGCAAATGGGCACCAATGAAAATTATGGGTTTCTTTATGTTGAGCATTGTTGCACTTTGAGAAACAAAAATGCTCAGGTGTGAATGGGGGCTTAATGGCTTATGGCTAGTTTTGTTCATGCTGTGCACTGCTCGGAATTAGAATCAGAAGCCTTTTATAACTAATACATTTCTCAAGTGAAAGAATTAATGCAACAATGCATATAAGTAAGTATATGAACTAAGGTTGTTTGAGATCTATTCTAGTTCTGTGTGGATTCATGCTCTTATCTTGATACCAAGGCAACACTTGCAGATAAAGCTGATGGGGAGCTAGGTGTGACCGGCTCAACCAAAATTCCTTAATTTAAAGCACTGCTATAAAATACGCATTTCTACAACCTTATCCTACAGCTGCTGAAAATAAAGAACAAGGCTTAAAGGTGAACTTCAGGATTTTTTCTTTTTTTTGTATTCAAGGATATTTTTCAAATCTGCAATGTAAAAATATTGCTGTCATTTTTTATTATTTACACACTCAGGCTGGATAGTATAGCTCTCACTATACTTCTAGCACTTTGCTCTCATACACTGAAGCCACACATTACAAAATACAGCCTAGGGTCTTCCCCTGTCACTCTTTGGGAGAATCCACTTAATCAAAATGATCAGTTTTGCTAAATTGTTATACCTGCTGCAGACTCTTCCCCTTGGATTGGATTGCCAGATTTATCTTGGAATCCAAACGGCCGAGGATCTCCTTTAAAAAGCTATGGCTCCCGAAGAGTGAGGGGGGGCAACCTCCCTAAAATTATATCATACAACCTAGCATGCCTGCTGAGACATGCACTGGATTGGCTGTCAGGTGACTCAATGTACTCCAATACCGATTTGGAAGCAGAACAGATGCCGCCATGGGATCTGAAGGCAATACTACATTGCAAGATCTCATTGCTACCCCAGGGCATTCGAAGCAGCTTTCTATACAGGAACACTATTGTGGTGTGGAGGGAAACCAGGAGAGCATTGGGCTTCTCCCCCTCATGTCTTCCAGGTGCCCCTTTCTGGGCCACCCATTGTTTTCGCAGGGGTTGAATACGCTGCTTTTCATAAATGGAAACAACTGTTTCATCCACAGACATACCGCCCATAATCCTTTTCTGAAATGACCCTGATGTACCATATTCCGACCCATGACTTTTTACATTACATACAACTGAGATTGGCGTGGAAAACTTATCAAGGCACACCTGGAGAACTGTTTGCGGCATCGTTTGTGGATAGCCTTCTTATGTCCAAAACCTACTCCACTTCCACAGTTTATCCCAAGCTCCAAACCTTAGTGTTAGACTGCTATCCTCTTCTAATGTCAAGGAATAGGCAAAGGACTTTGATGACTCTAACTTGGTGAATAAACTCCTCCGAGGATACGCTAAAATTAGAATGGTCATCACAAACGAACTTGGAGGGAGACCCAATTTAAAATTCTACATAGAGCCTATGTCCCATTTTTCAAACCATCCGGGTACTCCATGAATGCTTCCTCGGAGTGACCACTGACTTCTACATGCCCCAAATGTGATCATCAAAGACCAACCCTTCGCCACTGTCTGTGGAGCTGCCCGGTAGTGCATGACTTCTGGTGGGATGTCCTGGAATACATCAATGGTATCCTTTCATGGAAACCTGAGCTTAATCATGCGCTATGTCTGTTTAGCTACCACGAACATACTAGAAAAAAACATGGTGCCCCGAGGTGCAAGGGTATGGACTGGGTCCACATATGTCTCTTGAAAGCAAGAAGATGTCTTATGAGGCATTGGAAATCACCTACAGCACCGACGACTCAGGAACTCACCAAAGACCTTAAACTGCTTCTCTGCAAAGAGAATCTCGATGCAGAACTACACAAAGACACTCGCTCCAAATTCTTTTTCTCCAGGTGGAGACACTTTATAAGTGCGTCCTATTCGGTCACAGAAGTTATGCAAATTTTCAGACCTTTTTGTTACACGAATTGGTATTTGAATGCAGCTGTGTCGAATGCCTTGGGAGTCCTACGAATCGATTCGGACTAAAGGTGCCCATACACTGTACGATTCTCGTACGAGAATCGCGGGGAATCCCGCGATCGTACGAGAATCGTACAGTGTATGGAAGGCGTGCGACCGTTTCTACTGTACGGTCGCACGTCTTCCATCGAACAAGCAGGCTAGAAAACCCGCCAGGAATCGTACGATTCTCGGCGAGTGAGTGGCCTGCTTGTTCGACAACTGACAAACGGGCCGGTGTGCTCACGCGCACACTGCCCGTTTGCCGTCCTCGTAAGCCCGCCCCTCATTGCAGTCATCGCAAGCCCGCCCCTCAAGGGGGCGGGCTTGCGATGGTCGCAAGTACGATCTGCCTGTCCAAGATGGGCAGATCGTACGTTTTTTTAAGTACTTTACAACCATCGCAAGACTAAGGTCTTGCGATGGTTGTACAGTGTATGGCCACCTTGAGGGTTTGCACCCGCTGCGCAACACGGGGTGACTATAGTTGTTTACCCCGGTGGTGCGGGGGACTACTTAATCAGGCCACGAATCAGCTTTGTAGGTCAGCTGGGGAACTCGATGAATGTATCTATGTGCTTACTTTTTCCTTTTACCCTGGGGATGTGTGCTGTAACATTAGCCTGCTTTATTATGTGATAACCTGGATTGTTCTTTGCTGTAAAAATAAAACATTTTTGAAAAAAAAAATACAGCCTAAGACCAAACACAGAGAAGGGTTTTCTGTATAATAAGGGTAACAGCAGAAACTCCTTGATACCTTTAATTTAGAATATTTTAATTGTTGACAGGTTCACTTTAAGGCCTGGGTATTGCAAATTGCAGACATTCAACTCTATTGTTATTGTTACTATTCTGCTATGATATGATGATCAGGATAAAATGTACTGTTCTAACTGTCCTTATTTCATGAAGTGGAAATTCTGCAGCATACCAAGTTGCTTAGCAACTGACATTTGCTTGTGTATACTGCACTCTTTTGATAGGTTCCTATTATGACACTCTTGCTTAAATGATATGAACTCCCCATCAATGTGTTAAGTTTAAAATTAATTGGGCAGCCAGACTAAAGCTTGGCATTTTAGAGGTCTTAGCAATAAATATCATAATACTTATATTACCTTTTGCAGTACTATAATGAACAATGCAGATATTAATTATTTTTACAGCCTTAAACATTTAAACAATACATTCAGGATGGTAAATATATATCTTTTTTTTTACCTATCTTTAATTGACAAAAACACAAGCCTATTAGCACATTGTGTATATTGTGGAGAGTCAGCAGGGCTGATAGCAAAGAAGGGGGTTAACTTGGGAGGGCAGGTACTTCCCCTACAGCCCTTCCTGTTAAAAGGTAACACAGGTGAGAGAGGAGGGGGGAAGCTGAGAGACAGACAGAAAGGTCTGTGTGTGTGTGTGGCTGCTCAGAAGCAAGTGGACTCTATCTTGGTGAGATCACCTAAACGCACTACGCAGTGCAATCTTATTGAAGGACTTTATCTTTATGTTTGATGTTTGCTGAGGAAAGCCTTTTACTTTACCGTTTTGCACGAAGAAAGCTGTTTGTTCTGTTACCGCTGGATGAAATAAAAACTGCTTATTTATATCAGACTGTGTTGAAGACGCATGTGTACCCCTGGGGTTCCCCACAATATATATACTTCCCAACTAAGAATGAACATTAGTGGGCGTGTATTAAACATGAAACAAATTAAAGAGAGTAAGATTTCACACCCCGATTTGTAATTCCTTGAAAGCTGTATTAAGTAAATTCCACTTTTATGTGTGCAAATACCGAAAAGAGAGGGGGCTTTGAAGAAATACTATAACTCTCTTGGTATATAAAAATTAGAAATACATTTATTAGTGTCACATATTTTAAAGCATGAATAAAAGACAATTAAAACATGATTGATCCATTTCACCACGTGATAATAATGTCACATCAATTTGACAATATAATTGTTTTAGTAGAACATGAAAAATGACTCATTCTGGTAACCCGAACATGTTTCGCCCGTCAGGGCTTCTTCAGTGGAAAATATATGTCCTAAATGAGAGGAAACCCATGTAAAGTGAGTTAGAGATTGCACTTTTGTATAAAACATGCATGCATATAAGTTGTTATATCTATAAGCATTCGCAGGCTTATGTGAAGGAGTCCATCAAAATCGTCAGTTGACAACAAAACGCAAAGATGAGGAGAAACCAAGTATATTCCCCTCAATTCAGGCAAAGTAATCACACGGGGGGGGTCATGTCAATGGAGCAGATTGTAGCACTAGGAAGCAAGGGAAACGGCAGTGAGAGAGATGTTGTAAAAGCACAGCAAGAAATGTGTGTAAAAATAAGTAAATAAATATAATAAAAAAAGTGAAATGATGACCTATATTGTGATTCATTATAAGTTAAGGGAGGGCACATTATATTTATACATAATGCAGATGGTGACAGTTGACGATAAAGCTAACTAATGTGAATTAGGATAAACTAGAGAATATTAGGTCCATCCATGGTTAAATTAACCCAGTGAGAATCACACATATGATTAGAATTAAAGCTAATCACTAAGCCCCCTCCTTTTTGGTATTTGCACACCTAAAAGTGGAATTTACCTAATACAGCTTTCAAGGATCTACTTCCCAACTGTCATCTGACAAAAAAGACAAAGATTGGCAACATTCATCAGTGCTGGATTTCTGATGATCATTGATGCACATGTGCTGTATAACAGTGCGGATCCTAATTGTCCATATTTTTATTATAAAATATCAGAAGGCAGGAAAAGGCAACCAAACATTGTGGGTTCTGTGGCATATTCTTGTTCATCAGCTACTGTTCCTAAATGCCTGTGATATCAATTTACATGGGTGCTTTTATAACTATTTATGGTATATTGACAGGTGCCTCAAGATGAGTGGGCAGGGTATCCCTCTGGTGGTAAAGATGACGAGATCCCTTGTCGAAGGATGCGAAGTGGGAGTTATATAAAAGCCATGGAGGAGGACAGTGGAGACTCTGACACAAGCCCTAAAACATCCCCTAAAATGTCAGCAAGGCCTGAACCACTACTGAAATCTATCATGCAGAGATCGCACGGAGAAGTACAAAAGTAAGTTATTTTGAGTTGAAATTGTTGTCGTTGATCGTGGATGGTATTATTGCTATATCAGTTTTTAATATATTTTTTGCACATATGTAGCTACAGTTATATCTGTAAAAACCTAAAAATTTTGTATAGTAAAGCTTATGCCAATACTGTACGCATAATTTAGTGTTAAATGCATCACCTGCTTACTTCTGTGGCTTGAAAGCTTAGCAATTCCTTTGCTGGAGTAACAAGGCCACCAGCTCTGACAATGGACATTATTTTCGCAGTCAGCTTCAATCTATGATGTAGGGATGAGGAGAGGGGAAGGTGTTCTGTAGCCCTAACACACTTCCTGCCCTAGGACAGAATGCGTGTTATGGGTTAGATCACCGGGAGGAAATAAAGGGAAAAAAAGCCTGAAAACATGTACATTAAAGGACTGGTAATCTGTAGTATATTACATTTTTATTCTTGGGTGTAGATACACTTTAAAAGAGAACTATGGGGTAAGAGTTTTTCCCCAAAGTTATCTTTAGGGTCAAGGGAGGACATATACTAACCTCCTCCCGTGACCCAAAGCTCAGTATATAGCGGGCAATATACTGAGAGTGCCGCAGTCAAGTGCAGATCCCAATAATACTGTCTGGATCCACCCAGCTGCGTGAGTGACAGCTGGCTCTGCCTATCTAGAGGCAGAGCCAGCTGTGCCTGCCCCCTCCCCATCCGTTCCTGGAGGATCGGAGAGGGGAGGGGGGAATCCCTGCGGGGAGCAGTGACTGACAGTCACCGCTCTCTGCAGGGAGATGATGACGGTATGTGTTTGCTCACTTCCCCATCAATAGAGCCGACCTGTGACAGCTTCTTTGTCACAGGTCGGCTCCAACTATGAGTGGAAATCACTCACCTCATAGTTCTCCTTTAAGCATTAAGCAGAGTAATTGGGATTGATTTACTAAAAGCAAATAAGCTGATCACTTTTGCAAGGTAATTTTCACTTAGCTCAGTAAATGTGGTAACAATTTACTTTGCAAAGAATACCCAATCACATGCAAGGAAAATAAAAACAAACAACAGTATTTTTGCTTGCACATGATTGGAGAGTGTCACCTTATTCACTAAGCTAAGGGATAATTGCCCTGCAAAATAAACAGCCTATTTGCATTCAGTAAATCAACCCCTATTGTATAAGCTGATCTACTGTCTCAAGTGGATGATTTTTACATTTCTACATTTACTACAATACCAAAATAAAAAATGTGAAAAGTCATAACAAAATGTACTCATAGGTAAACACTACAAACATAAGCTAAATTACAACCCCAATTCCAAAAAAAGTTGTGACGCTGTGTAAAATCTACATAAAAACAAAACGCAATGATTTGCAAATCTCGTAAACCCCTTATTTTTTATCACAATAGAAAATAGAAAAAAACATATCAAATGTTTAAACTGAGAAAATGTACAATTTTAAGAAAAAAATAAGGTCATTTTCAAATTGATGGCAGCAACACTTCTCAAAAAAGTTGGGACAGGGCCATGTATACCACCATGCACCCCCTCTTCTTTTAACAACACTCTGTAAATGTCTGGGAACTGAGGAGACCAGTTGCTGGAGTTTTGGGGAAGGAATGTTGTCCAATTCTTGCCTGATATAGGATTCTGAACTGCTCAACAGTCCTGGGTTTTCTTTGTTGTATTTTTCATTTCAAGATGTGCCAAATCTTTTCATATGGTTAAAGGTATGAACTGCATGCAGGCCAGTAAAGCACCCGGATTCTCCTACTATGAAGCCATGCTATTGTCAAAGATGCAGTATCCATTTTAGCATTGTCCTGCTGAAATATGCAAGGCTTCTGCTGAAAAAGACATTGACTGGAACCTGGATATATCTTTCAGCATTGATGGTGCTTTGCTGCCCATTTCATACACACTAATGCACCTCCATACCATCAGAGATGCAGGGTTTTGAAGTGAGCATGAAGGGCGGAAGGTCCCTCTCCTGTTATATTTTAATGCGTCGGACCACAGAACAGTTTTCCACTTTGTAACAGACCATTTTAAATAAACTTTGGCCCAAGAAGACAGTGGCATTTCTGGATCATGTTTAGATATGGCTTCTTCTTTGCAGGATAGAGCTTTAACATGCATTTTTTGAAAGGCACGGCGAGCTGTGTCCACAGACAGGGATTTTTTTAAGCATTCCTTAGCCCATGCAGTGATGTCCATCACAGAATCATGCCTGTTTTTAATGCAGTGGCGCCTAAGGGCCCAAAGATCACAGGCATCCAATATTGCGTTTCAGCCTTATCCCTTGCACACAGAGATTTCTCCTGATTCTCTGAATCTTTTGATGATATTATGTACTGTAGATTATGATATATTTAAAGTCTTTGCAATTTTATATTGAGGAACATTCAAAGGCGTAACTAGAAACCTCAGGGCCCTGGTGCAAGAAACCATTTTCAAACCGGTTTGAAAGGGATTTATTTTGTGTGTCAGAGGGGAGAGCGGGGTACAAGCATTTACTGATCAGTGATCGATGAGTGTAGATAATTGAGGACAGAGTATGGTTACTATATCCTCAATTATGAATGGATGGGAAGTAATGGGAAGTTATCATTGCCTACCTGGACCTGCTGCAGCTCTCCTCCAGAATCTCCTCACACGGTGCTGTGAGCTGTGCTCCCGAACCCTGTGCCTCCAGGGTCCAGCTCAAGCCAGGACATCCTACAGCGTGGCGTGTATCCCGCCAGGCCTGCTCGGATGCTCCCTCCTCAGTTTCCTGCTGGGAATTGGAGTTCCCTGACAGGCGTCACCCCCTGACAGGCCACACCCCTGCAGCGCTACATCTTCTATTCACTGCTGCCGCAAAAGACACTGCGGGTGGTAGCGGTGAAGAGGGCGGCAGCGGCGCCGCGGGCAGCATGAGTAGCTGCGAGCGGCGGGCCTCCCCTTCTCTCTGCCCCCCCGAACTGGCGGAACACCTGGTCCAGGTCGCAAGTGCGACCCTGGTAGTTCCGCCAGTGCTGAAATTGTTCAACAGTTTTTAGGTGCAGCTTTTCATAGATTGATGATCCTCTGCCCATCTTTACTTTTGAGACACTCTGACTCTCTAACATGCTCTTTTTATACCCAATCATGTTACTGACATGTTGCCAATTAACCTAATTAGTTGCAAAATGTTCTTCCTGCTCCTCCTTGTTAGTACCACATACTTTGCCAGGTTTTTGTTGCCCTGTCTCAACTTTTGTGAGACATGTTGCTGCCAACAATTTCAAAATGACCTTATTTCTTTCTTAAAATGGTACATTTTCTCAGTTTAAACATTTGATATAGCTTCTATTTTCTATTGTGAATAAAATTTGGGTTTATGAGATTTGAAAATCATTGCATTCGGTTTTTATGTAGATTTAAAAAATAAATTTTTTTTTTGAATTGGGGTTGTAGTTGCTTTCTGGAAATATACTATATTTTCACTTCAACACCTCTATATACTATTATATACTGTTCATTATCAAGAGAATCGCAAACAAATCTCCTTTCAAAGTTGAAGTAAAAAGTAATTCAGATACATTTTCTGATCCTGGAAGGAAGTGTTTGGAAACTGTTAAGTCTAATTAGGCAAACGACTGATATTAAGAGAGCTCAGTAATACAGTGGTTACTAATGTGCAGAGAATAGCTTTTCTTTTATTAAATCATCCTCCGTACAAAATGTAAGGGAAGGCATTAAAATCATGTGACTCAAATTTAATTTGAAGCAAATGCTGTTTATCATCAGTAAATAATTCAGCCTTACAATACATTAAGTGAATTAACATTGCAACTACATTTGAAAAACACAGAGGACCAAAAGGAAATGTGATTCAATTAGACTGCAAACAAAAACACACTGACAAAGAGTTTCTGCAGGGAGCTGACTGTCTAGAATTTATTTCATTACAGACATGTGTTTGTTCTTTGTCTTACTATAGCTGGCGTTCATCTAGCAAGACCCTTAACTGGTTTGAATGGCACTTATGAGCACTTACTGTATCCAAGCGCAGTATATATAAACTGTTATGGTTTAAAGGCCAGTTGGTTTTTTAACCGTAATAATTAGTTTGTGTTTTTTTGTGACCGCTATCTTCTGTTATACCACTGCAGTGCAGCCAACATGGTTTAAATTCACACAGGTTAATACGTGATTCCCAGGTATACATGGCTTAAAACTCTTTTTTTATAAGAGTTTCACAAGCAGCAGTTTTTGCCTTCTTGGTTATAGTTCTTGTGTGCGTTGTTGGTGCTTACTGGTGGCCACTTTCTGGCTGTAGTTCGATGTGCGTTCTTGTTAGAGTCATTGCTGTTTCCTGACTGTGGTTGTGGCTGATCCCTGATTAATGCAGAGGTCAGTCTCTGAATGTAATGGATGTCATTTCCTGGCTCTTGTACTAGTCATTATCCCTTAAAGGAGAATTATGGGGATGAGTGAAAAACACTCATCCCATAATTCAAGACGACCTGTGACACTGAAGCTGTCACAGGTCGGCTCTATTGATCGGGTAGTCATTGAACACATACCGCTGATTGCTGACTTCCCGATCCTCTCCCTGCAGAGAGCAGTGACTGTCAGTCATTGCTCCTAGCAGGGATTCCCCCCTCCCCTCTCCGTTTCTCCAGCTATGACTCGAAGAATAGAAGGGGCGGGCACTGTCAATCAGCCAGTGGGGTGGATCACGACAGTATTGTCCGGATTCGTCCCGGCTGCAGCGTGGCACTGCGCTCTCAGCATATAGCATGCATTATCACACTATATACTGAGTTTTGGGTCAGCAAAAGACATTAGTATATGTCCTACTGTGACCCTGAAGATAACTATGGCCAGAAAAGGTTGGCCCATAGTTCTCTTTTAAGTATAGTAGTGGTTAATACCAGAATCTATGTTGTCCACTTCCTATGTTTAGCCATGCTCACACCTTGAGGTTGATTTACTAAAGTTTACTGCTTCCACACAATCAAGCATGTGCTCTTTGGATAAACACC